GATTCTTGTTCGAAACTCTACAAAATATACACAAATCCAAGACTCTACCATTCAATATATATATATATATATATATATATATATATATATATATATATATATATATATATATACATATTTATAAATGCCTGTGCATGCATACATAACATGCGTATAATTCTTTGAAACTAGCCATTCATGTTTTCATGATATGAAAAGTTATTGCTATTTTAATAATTAAATCAAATATGTTTAATATTTTTATTTTTTAAACTCTTTGGCAGTCAGAAATTCATATGAACTTTCTATGATTATTTATAGGACAAATATCTAATAATAAGAATAATTCTAATGCGTTCTTAAAAGTAATAGGCACCAGCAAAAATCATGTTATTTTCAGGTTTTTATTTTTAATTAGGATATTTTTATCACAAAACATTTATTAGGATCACAATCAAAAATAATAACACAATTTCCCCAAAATTTCAAGACTTTTTGTTGAACTATGACTTTAAAATTTTCAAAATCGGTCTACTTTGAGAGGTAGGCTCTTCTTTAAAAAAGAGGTACTAAAGTGTATTGGCAAGTTTCATCAAAAGTTGGCCAATTTAATCAAAATTGTAAAATCGTAAAATACTTCATTGTTTAATAATCAAAAATTTTGAGTAAAAAAAATATAAAGCTAAAAATGACATGATATTTGATGATGCATTTTAGTCACATTCAATTCAAATGTGTTAGTCGTTATGTGTTATTTTCGGGTTTTTATTTTTACTAGGATTTTTTCATTATAGAATTATCAAATATTTTACTGTTTCACAACCCTGATTAAATGCGCCAATTTTTGATGAAATTAGCTAGCACACTTCAGTACATTTTTTTTTTAAAGAAAGGCCTCTCAAATCGACTCATTTTTTAAATTTTATATTCATAGTTCATCAAAAAGTCATAGATCTTGAAAATTTGAGGCAATTGTATCATTATTTTTTATTGTGGTCCTGGAAATGTTATTAACGGTTACGTTTCTAATATTTAAATAACCAAAATTTATAAAAATTAACCAAAATAAACAAAAAATGGTTACAATTATATCAAAGTTCTAGATTGCACTTAAAAGCTCATAATTTCCAAACAATGTGAGGAGCGCTCATGAATCACGTGATCGATTTTTTTAATGATTTTTGGACCTTATCTCCCCCTGATAATCAAAATTACCCATCTCCCCCCAACAAACGTTACATGCATTTTTAGATACCAGAAAAATTGAATTTTTTTTTTGAAATTTTATTTGAAAATGTTTGAATTTTTTTTATAAAAGGCAAAGGCAGGTCAGGCAAAAAATAAATACACGTGATATTTTACCATACCCCTTCGTCCCCCACGTAATATTTTGTGATTTTTTGACAAACCTCCCCTTCCCCTAAAAACCTCACGTGATCAATGGATGCCCCCTGAGATATTTTTTTTCTACTTTTTTTCACTATAGTTACCCAGTTTCGGCTTGATGTTGAGTTCTGGGACACCCTGCATAACATAACTGTTATAGTTTTAAAAATAATTAAAGTTATTTTCAAAGTTCTTTCTGCGTTTACTTATTTCGAAACTAGGTTTAATTAAATTGATTATTATTAATACTTTCAGTTTATACATACTACTGATTTTTATTATTAAGTCAGTTTCCATAAATAATATTTATAATCGCGATTTCAATCTAAAAACTTCCAATGCCATCGATAATATAAATTTTATTATCGATATCGAATTAGAATTTGCGACGTTCGAATTATGTGGCGATATCAGATTTGAAAATATTTTTAATTTGAAATCTGAAAACAAAAAATTATTCGCGCTTTCGAATAACATTAATGGAATTATTTTTCTGAAATTGGCAATCAATTTTTTTGTATATCAAATGAAAATAGGAAAATAATACTGAAGTATTTAAATTTAATTAAATTAAATATTTTTAAGTTTTAATTTAATTAAATATTTATTTAATAGCTGGGAGTCTGAAAACAACGTTATTTCGAAATAACTCGCGCTTCTAAAAAACATAAATGGAATTATTTTTTTGAAATTGAATTTTAATATTTTATTTTACACATAGAATAAAAAAAGTTAAGAAAAATTAATAATTAGGTGTACCACAATTATTTTAAAAAAAATCAATTTTTCGTGTTATTCACTTTTAAATAATATTAATATTTTTTTTATTATCTCACTTTATTTCAGCAATCAGAAATACAAAAATAATTTCTATGAGCTAAACTATAGTAATAAGTATGATATTATATAAGATAATCCAGTGATATATCTTACTTAGTTTACATAAAATAATATTAATATGTTTTTGGAAAGATCAGAATAATAATACTCATTTATTTATAATAATTCAGTCAATGGAAAATAAGTCAAATTTAATTAGTTAAGAAATGTATCATTTAAAATCATCATATTACATCTTTACGGTGATTTTTTCTATTTCTACGACTTGCCTAAAGGCCACTAAATACCCTGATTTCTCTTTTCATTTTAATATTTAAAACTATCTAATGTTGTAATCCACTCAGAACAATAAAACCTATGTAGATAATTAAAATAATCACTTAATTGCAACACTTGTTGAAATTTTAGATAAATTTCAACTTTACGGTTCCGCTGGATAACCTGAATTTCACTCGAGTAAGAATTATTTAAAATAATATTCTATGAATGAAAGATAAAAAATAAATATTACGCCAATGACTTTGATGTTTTTCAGATTATTGTTTAATTTGACTCGAACGAATCGAAAATTGTTATTGCTGATAATAAATTAAAGTTATTAATAAAGTAAAGATAGGATAATAATGAAAACAGTTTTTACCTGGAATGACTGCATCAATAAAAAATTCATCGATATTACAGAAATTGTAATAATAAATAAATTGCATAAAGTTTGGAGAACATTTTAGGTTGCCATCTCTATGGTCACGTCATTAAAAGAAGTTAATATAAAGTTTTGTTGAATGGATTAATGCATCAAAAATATATATTACCCAACTAAAATTGTATTAAATCTTTATCATTTATACAAGTATATTTTACCAAATCGTTTTTTGATTCTAAAATAATCATCTAAAATAAATTCCGTCATTGCTCATTTATTTTATCGTCGTACATTTTCGGCCTTCGGTGTGATTTTCATTTTGTGTTTTTGTCCCGGCGGAAGGCCATTGAAGAAGATGCGACTAGAATATTTAATAAAGAACAATTTAATTTCAATGTTTCTCGACTTCCTGCAGAATCTATGTGAAATTGACAGTCAAGTACCAGAAATATGAAAATAGATTGATATGAAGTGAAAGAAATTTCGTAATAAGTTAAAAAAAATAATTTAAATCTGTTACTTTATTGATTAAGGCGACACTCATATCGAGCCTTAATGTGCTACTTACAGCTAGAGTTTAAGGATGTATTTTAGTCTAAAAATTTTAAGAAATAGTTTCTTGGATATTTGCAACATTTAGGGCGCAGCCATTAATCACGTGATCGATTTTTATATTATTTTTTAAGAATTTGCGGACCCCCTTCGTCTTGGTGATGAATGGTGATATTCAAAATTACTCCCCTTTCCTCTCCAAGCATTACGTGTACTTTTAGTTACGAGAAAAAATTGTAAAATTTTTGTTTTTTTTTTAATCAGGTAAAAATAAATACACATGATATATTACTATACCTCTCCTTTCCACACGTGATATTTTGTGATTTTTTGTTATGAATTGAAGCAAGAAGAGTTTAGAAGATCAAATAAGAACTATAGTAGAAATAGTAAGAAATGTTTAGAAGATGAAATAAGAAGATAGTAAAAGAATGAGAAAGAAGAATGAAGATGAGTTAAGAAGTATAGAAAAATAGGATTATATGAAAAAGATAGTATGAAATTGAAGATTGTATAGGACATATGATTGTATAGAATAATGTAGGTGGCTAAATGCTCAAGTAAGCGAAGCCAATAAAATAGAAAAAAAATATATGAAATTCATATCTGTACACTAGAGAATATAAAACACTACAGCAAAAAACAAATTACATAAGAAAATTATAAAATTATATATATATATATATATATATATATATATAATTTATTTAATCACTTTAAAATTAATTTGTTACTAATTTTATATTGTTTTATAAATCTAGTAGTATTTGTTCGTAATTTACGGCATGAATCATCAACCTTCGATAGCTCAGTTGGTAGAGCGGTGGACTGTAGAACGTAAACAAATGCCGAAATCCATAGGTCGCTGGTTCAAATCCGGCTCGAAGGATTATTTTTTTTTATTTCCAAAAACTATCTAAACTAAATTAAAATTTAATAATTAAATGGTTTATTTATATATTAATTATAATTTGTTGAATTTTACCCTTATCTGCTTGTAATAACGATATTGGAGATAAAAGAAAATTCTGTTTTGTGATATAAATTTTAGACAAAAAACTTGCAAGTTTATAGCAAAACTGTTGTATATAAACAAAAATCAAGAGATGCAGTCTTATATACATAATACAAAATACATAGTAAAATTTTTGAATCATTTTTATATTTTATATCAAAATTGAAAAGGCTTACTACTGGGTAACCTTTTAGATGTAATGTTTAATATTTCATATATCATCAAAATTACTGAATGTCTTCCTTGTTGTAAAGACAGTTTGTAATTCAATAAAGATAATTAAAAAAAAATATTTAAATTGTCTTTTTTATATCAACTTATTTTATTTATAATATTTGAAGTTGACAACGCGGAGGCATCACCTTTTTTCCGAGGGGCCACCCGAAATGGCGTCGCAATGACCGCCATTTTGATATTTTTTTTGAAAATTTTACAAAATGTTTAATAAATGAATAAAAAAAAAATTAAAATATTTTATTTTTATATGTAAAAAAATATTGAAAAGAGGCAATTTTTTGCCCGAGGAAACATATGTATCCCCTTAATGTGTTTTTATTTATTAATCTTTTTTTTTACCCTTTTCAGTCGCCTGCCCTTCAATAACGCTGTGCCAAACGGCGTCTCCTAGCGAAGCCTATTTAAACGGATCCGCTTACATCCGTTACAACGCGCCGCTTCCACTCTGGAGTCATGCTGCCCTCAGTTTCCGTTCTTGTACAGGTAATAAAATAATAATAATAAAGATAAATTTGCAGATTTATGTTAAATCTAATAATATTTCTTGAAGTTATGTGCTTTTAACGCGATTTCCAAAAGGATAACACTACCCTGAAGTAAGCGTCATGGGCACGGTGAAATGTGTGAGCGTCGTGAAGTTAGCTCAGAAACGTTTTGGCTGTGTCTGTTTTAATTCTTTATTTTAGTTATATATTTCTTTAGTTTAAATTGATAAAATGAATGAAATATATAAAATTGTAGTATGATAGTATTTCATTTTCAAATTTAGTGGATAAGCATTGTGAAAAATATGCGGAAACAAACCCAAAGACAGTGCGACGGTTTTGAGGTTATGTCAAGGTGCATCTTTTGTGGATATCAAATGATTATTAATATTTCTTGTTTGAAATTACATTTTAACATAACGTATTCGTGTACTTTATTAATATAAACACATTTTCCATACTCAAAAATGAGTCATTAAGTAAAATTTTTGATCTCTAGTTAAAGAAAATCGGTCAAGAAAAATTTAGCAATTGTTCAAATAAATGTAAATAATAAATCTCGGCTAAAATCTTTAAAATCAGTCAAGATAAATTTAACAATTGTTCAAATAAATGTAAATAATGAATCTCGGCTAAAATTTTGTGCGCAGGTTTTTAGTTTCTCATTAACTATTTAAAAAACATATATGAAATTATTTCTACAATTATTTTGTATATGTCGAATAAAGAAGAATAACAAATATGCTTTCACACTTTGTAAACAAATTGGCTTTGAGAATTTTTTGTTTTCTAATAAACACGAATATTTCAGTTTAATAAACACGAAATTTATTAAATATTCACTATTATTTGTCATGTGAATTAATTTTTATCTAGAATTGTAATGGGTGAATTTTTGTATTTGTAAAATTTACTAAAAAAATAATGTATTCTTTTTATTATTATTATTTTCAATGGCTACACAATATTTAAGTGATTTATGAGATTTGAATAAAAAAATTCACACTAGATACCCGTCTCGGACAGCCTGATGTCAAGCAGCAGTGACATGAGTTTTCACTTGAAAATTTATATATGACAATATGTTTCTAGTAAAAATAGTTTTTATCCCGAGATTAATAAAAATGACATCAGTATTACATAAATTGTAATAGTAAATTCACCATAGAGATAGGACAACTCTTTGCAACTATAAAAAGATCTACAACGTTTAATTTGTTAAAAATATTTATAAAAATAATATTTTTATTCTTATTAGTGCAAATCATTATAATTTTCGCTAAAATATTTAGCCACTTTTATTATCACAATATTTACATCACTTTACGTTTCAGATATTTCTGAACATTTTGGCAGACCTTAGAAAAAATGGATGTGTGTGTATGTGTGGATACAATTTTTCGTCCACGTGTTTGGGAGCACGGATCATCCGGTTTGAATGATTCAAAAAGAAAAACTATTCCTATTGATAGGGAAACGTGTTGATTAGTTTTTGGCAAAAACCAGTTCAGTTGTTTCGGAGATACGGAGCAAAATGTGCAAAGAATGGCAGTTTTAAAGAGAACGAATTATCTAATTCAGAAAAAATTTTGCTTATTTTGATACTGTAAGTGTAAACTAAAGAAATGAATAGGTTTTGGCGAAATAATTTTTGTTTTAATTTCCAAAAAATGTTTTTATTTTCCATTTTTTTGTTTAAATCCTTAAAATTATTCGGATTCAATTTTCATTCAGGATAAAAACATTTGAAATTTCTCGAATATTTCATTTGGTACGGGAAGTTCTAGCAACTTGTCTTAAGGCACGATGCCATGCACCATTAGTTATATTATTTTTTTACAATTCTATTTTTATCCCCAGGTGGCGAATTATTCCAACAAACGTCACGAGGCGAAGCCCTGCACTGCACTGTCAACCGTGACATGCTCTCTTTAACACTGCTGTCATCTCCCGGTGTCATCAGGAGAGAGGTGACAGTTCCGGCGAGGCTCCTGGACAACCAATGGCACACCATTCAGCTGGTGTATCGTTTGGGAAATCTTACGTTGCATATAGACGAAAGGACAGTATTAATAGGTAATAGATAGAGGATATATTATTTATACAATATATAATTATAATAGGTAACATAAAAGATACATTATTTATGCATATACTAGCAAACCCGACCAACTCCGTTTCGCCACCAGATGGTTTCGTGAGGAAGATGAAGAAATTTTTTGTTTGTTTTATATTTGTAAAGGAAAAATTTGATTTTATTACACAACAGTAATGAATTTATTTCGATTACAAAAATGAAGTGTATTTTAGTTGAACTTCTCTAAGTAAATAAAAGTGAATCCGCAAATTATCCGTTTCATTGAGGTGCTCTTTGGTAAACCACATTTTTTGTTTTTTGGTCTGACGTTAACACAAACAAAGCGGATGGTTTTCCAACTCGTGAACAGGCAACGTATAACTGCCCATGTGAAAAACAATGATTTCTAAATAATCTATTTGAAATTTATCCCGCAAACACTAAGCGATTGGCCTTGCGACTTGTTATTGCGAACGCAAGGCGAACTGGAAATTGCAATCGTTTGAAGTCAAACGGAAGACCAGTCGGAATCATTGGTATGTCACCAAATCGCCTGCAATTTTTGATTAAATGGTGAAATTCAGTGCGTGTACATCATATTTCTTGGCGGCAAGAATTGCTCGTTAACTTAACCAAGCGTAATTCTGATAATTCTCAGTAATTAATGTTATTACTCGAATTTGTTATACGAAAACAATTGTTGATTATTTTCATTACTCGTATTTTCAATTACGGTGCGTGAAGTTTCAGCAATTTGCATTGAGGCACGATGCCATGCACCACTAATTTTCTTAGCTATAAACCTTGCGGAGCCCGAGACCTTTCCAACGAATGCAAAATTGTCGAAATCGGTTCGTGCGTTCTGGAGTTATATCGTCAGGAAGGAAAACCCGACTTATTTTTATATATATGTAGATATGATTAAATATTTATTTGTTTATTTATTTATTTTAAATATATAGCAAACAGATTTCTTCCAAGAGGACTCTAAAATACAATTATTTTACATAATGAATAACAATTGAAATATATACAAAATTACAATACATAGTTATTAACATCAAATGCAGAAAGTAACAATATTATTTATATACAGAATAAGATAAAATAATGAGATATTTGAAAAGAAAAGAAAAATGTTAACTTGTGCAGATGGAGATTATTTGATCAGATGTGAATATATATTTCATTATTAATTAAGTTAAAGTTAGAGAACATAAGTAAAATAGGTGAATTTAAGAGAGAATTAGATTTAGGAGTAGGACAATTACAAAATGATTGTGAACGCGTAGATAGCCTTGGAATATTAAAAGATAGTTAGTTATTAAATATTAGTAAACTAATACGTTTTTTTTTTTTTTAGCAAATTATACTTACAATGCAGACTTCCTGACAGCAGAACACATCAACAACGAAGCTGCTATCTTAATTTTAGGCCAAAACTTTTCTGGTTGCATACAATCCGGTCCAGGTTTTCTTTTTGTTCCTGAAAATTTGCAAACTGTATACGATGTTATGTTTGGACCTTGTCCGATACCATTGAATATGAAATGTAAGAAAGACAAAATTTATTAAACATTTTTTCAATAATTTTAAAATTTACTGATAAGAATTTTTTTGGTTTATTAGGTGGAGAATCCACAAATCATCAGCCTACACCAATGGAAGACCATTGTCTGCATGAACCCTGTATGCGACATGGGATATGCTTATCCAGGCCAAATGGGTAAATATGAAAAAAATTATTGACCAATACACCTAAATATATAAAAATATATATTTTCTGTTTTCTGGCCCTGTTTGAATTGATTTAGTTGAACCCCTTTTTCCCTAATTTTCCAGTATTCAGTTTTCTGGACCTTGGATCAACATTTTGTGAACCCCTTTATACTGGTTTTAAATTTTTGGATTTTTTTTTAACTTCCCGTGGGGTAGTTTTAGTAATAGGACGAAAATCGATTTTTTTTGCATACTTTCACGTTTTAAAGATTTCTGAACATTTTGGCATACCTCAGAAAAAATTGATTTGGGTGTATACGTGAATACAATTTTTCGTCGGCGATTTCAGGCGTATGGATGAACCGATTTGAATAATTCAAAAAGCAATCGATTCCTATTGATAGGGAGATGTGCTGATTAGTTTTTGGCAATGGCAGATCCAGCCGTTTCGGATATACGGAGCAAAGAATACAAAAAATAGAAATCGAGTTTTTGAGAGAACGGAGTATCCGATTTGATTGATCTAAAAAACATTCAATTTGTAATGAGGCAAAGGCAGGTCCAGTCGTTTCGGAGATAACGAGAAAAATGTGCAAAAAATGACAGTTTTTGGAGAGAACTAAGCATGTGATTTGAATGATTTAAAAAACTTTCTGCTTGTATTGATATAACAATTGCTTTTGAGTATAAAAAATTATTACATCTTTTTTTATTTTCCACAAAATATTTTTTTAATTTTGGATTAAAAATTCAAAAAATTACCCAGGTCTATTACAGTCTAAGCGCCACTCTGGTACAAATGTTTACCCAAGTGCGTTTAAACTGTTCATGTACTGAAACACTTTTCAAATTTAGTGAAAACTATTGAAAAATGTGAAAATGCCGCCAAGATAAGCACAGCATAAGTGAAAATGTCGCACAGAATTATTTGGAAATGCAAATTAGACTGTTTGGGAGCACTTTTTTAATTTTGTGTCAATTAGGCAACTATTTTTTTGGAATTGAATTCGAAATGAAATGACGATTGTTAATGTTCTGGAGATAAATTGATTTATTTATGATTTACATTTGATTTGCTTAGATATAACAAGATAGCAAAAATAATGAAAGTTACAGTATTTGTAATAATATATTTGAGAACGTTTAAAATTTCTCGAATATTTCATTACGGTACGGGAAATTCCAGCCATTTGTCTTAAGGCACGATGCCATACACCACTAGTTTCTCGGTTGCATTTATTTCAAATTGTGAACATATTGTTAATTACAAAATTACATGAGTTTTTTTTGGACCTTGGATGAACTTATGTGAACCTTGTTGTATTCTTGCCTTTATATGTTTAGGTATTTTCTTCATTCGAGTAACCTAGTTTTATTAATTTTCTTCTGTTAGATACGAATGCCAATGCAGTGACAGATTTACTGGAAAAAACTGCCAAGTCGACCAAGGCCCACCTTGTTTAAACCAGCCTTGCCAAAACGGTGGCACTTGCGAAGAAACCTCGAGTGGTGACATACGGTGTACATGTACAAGAGGATTCCAAGGTATGATAATAAAAATTTGTATTAAAACAAATAATGATTGTTGGTAAATATTTGTTCTAGGACGTCGATGTGAAATAGAAATGACGACACATCCTCTCTGTGCTGGAAATCCATGCCAAAATAATGGAACTTGCCATGTGGCTCCTGGCACGAACAACTATCAATGCGATTGTTCTGAAGGTTGGTAAATTATATTACTCTACGATAACAATGATATTAATTATTTAACTTTCCGTAGGGCAAGTTCTTGTTTCATTCAAAGAAAATGAACATTTTTATATATCTTAACGTTTCAAAGGTTTCTGAACATTTTGACATACCTTAGAAAAAATGGATGTCTGTATGTGTTTTGGGTGATTACCATTTTTCAGGGACACGGATGAACCGATTTGAATAATTTAAAATACATTCGATTTGTATTGATAAGGTGACGTGCTGATTAGTTTTTGGCAAAGGCAGGTCTAGCCGTTTTGGAGATACGGGGCAAAAAGAGCCAAAAATGGTAATTCAGTTTTTGAGAGAACGAAGCGTCCGATTCGAATAATTCAAAAAACATTTTATTTATATTGACTAAACGAAAAACTGTCCAAATTTTTGGAGAGTCGGGTCCAGCGGTTATGAAGTTTCAATAAAAAATGTTTAAAATGCCTTTTGTCGGTCAAAAATGTTCATTAGACTTATGCACATCAAATTATCAGATATTTTATAGAGATTTCAATAATATTTACACATTTTGTCAATTTTTTGGGTTCCGTACCAAGATTTTTAATTTTAAAATTCACGTATATTCTTCGACATTTTCGACAGTATGGAATATCCGATTTGTATGATTGAAAAATCATTTGGTTCGTACTCGATCGCGAGGCGTTTTTGCAAAAGGCACATCTTGCCGTTTCTGAGGTATAGAGCGCAAAGTGTGTAAAAACGGTTATACTGTTTTTGAGAGAACGTATCATCCGATTAAATTAATTCAAAAAACATTTTGCTTGAGTAGACATCGTGCAAAAAATGCTTTTACAGAAAATTTCGGAATTTTGAAAATTTTCAAAAAAAAAAGATCTAAATTTTCAAAAAAATCGAAGTTTCGAAAAATACAAATTTTCGTAATTTTTCATCATTTTCATCATTTCAAAAAAAAATAAATTTTGAAAAATTTTAACACAAAATCAGAGTTTAACCCCTTAACTTAAAATGGCGAGTAGAGCCCTTGTGCGATTGCAAGCCCAAAAGCGAATATTACGGGCGAATATCCGGGTAAGAAGCAAATATTACGCATATCGGGTATGGCCCGGTGTGGTGAACGCAAGTATTACAAAATATTTATTCATACGAAACTATAAAACATAAAATTATTTTTATTTTTGTCGTGAACCGTACACTACGAGGGAAAATAGTCACAAACGCCGCGCCACCTTGAACAACTTTGGGCTGACATTTTCGAATCTAAATCGTAAGTTAAGGAGTTAAAAGAATCGATTTCTTCAATAATTTGAAAATATTTCGAAATATTCAAAAATTTCCGAATTCTCAAAAAAATTTAAAAAACGACTTTTAAAAAATTCCAAGAAATTTCAAACTTCTAAAAGAATTTCAAAATTTTGAATTATCAAAAAAAAAAACAAATTAAAAAAAAGAACAAATTTCTTATAAACATACACATAAGTTGTTTGTAGAATACGCCTAATTTAAAAAGCACTTAAGTTTACAGTATGTATTTATAATAAATAATCTATTTGAAATCATTCAAAATAATTATAGATTATTTTCATTCCTCGAATGTTTAATTACGGTACGGGGAGTTCTCCACTAGTTATCTAGTTAGTAATCTTCTATTTTTTTAGGTTTCACCGGCGTCCATTGCGAAACAGACGTTGACGACTGCCTCTCTCAGCCTTGCATGCACAACGGCATCTGCACAGATCTGACCAGGGGCTATTCTTGCGACTGCTCCAGAATCGGCTACAGTGGTAGAAATTGTGAAGTCAATATCGACGAATGCTCTCAGCACAATCCTTGCGAACATAATGCTCGGTGTTACGACACCCATGGTTCTTATGTCTGCGAATGCTTGCCGGGATACGGTGGCAAAAACTGTGAACAGGTAATAATAATAATAAAATTACTGATGTTTTTGGTATGTAAATTTTGTTTTTCTGTAGAGGTTGGATCAATGTCTGAGTTCACCATGTTACAATGGTGGAACCTGCGCGGATCACGGCACTTACACAGAATGCACATGTCCTGATGGTTATTCGGGAGAACTTTGTGAGAAGCGTCCGTTGTGCAGGACTAACCATGACTGTCCACTTGATTCAGATTGTGTGTCTGGGGAATGTGTTTGCAAACCAGGAACAGGAGGTAAATATTCATATATATACTAGCTGACCCGGCAAGCGTTGATTTGTTAAGTAAGGTATATTCTAAACAATTTGTAGAGAATAAAAAAAATTATACTTTAAGTGTATAAGGATGTGTAGTTTGAATGCTACATACAATGAGATATTATAAAAATAATAAAACCCATTAGTTTGTCTATATTTTGTCAATAAAATCAAACTGGAAGTTTTATACACTTTCTATAGAAAACATGGTATAATTCAATTCAAGTCTTTTTTGGGTCTTTCGACTTCTCGATTACTTTTCAAGTTTTTCAGATTCTTTTTGGATTCTGGATTTTGTGTATAATTGTAAATAATACTACTGTTCTTATACAAATTTTTCAAATTTCTGCGAGGAGAGATAGAAAATGAATTAAGTATTTCTTCTTTTTGAAAAGTTTCAAGTAACATTCGATGAATTGCAGTAAATTTAATAAAAAGTATATACGTAAAGCAGGGCGAGGTACGAAGGTCCAATTTGACTTTGAGCAAATATTAATTATATTGTGAAAACCAAACCAATTATATCACAACAAATAACACATTTCAAACGAACAATTATCTGACTACATTCAGTAAAACTGCCAGCTACTTCATCATTATAGAAATGTGCTTTTTTGCTGTCTTTCAAAAATTTGTTATCTAGACCTTTTTACCTTATAGGCGGAGTAACTTGGAACGGCCAGGTGGCAAACAGGTTTAATGTCTTATTTTAATATTAAAGGATTTTACAAAATAATTACACTTTTTAACTAATGCTAAAAGACTACCAACGGAAGAAAATACTTTCGTTATGGATTTTCAAAGATTACCGTTTATTTCCCGATAGCAAAGTCATGTGAATCGAGATTATAGTTGGTTATACAATATTGTTCTTAAACAATGCTTAACTTTACTGGTTTTTAAGCCCGGACCTTCATATATTGCTATTTATTCTTCGATAAATTCTGAGAAATTATAACTGGGAAAATGTCGATTTGATCGATACCAAATTTAGATTCTGAATTTAAATAACATAAATAAAAAATAATATAACCTAGAGAATGTTTTATAAATACCAATGAGTATATAATTATACAAATGAGATCTTTCCGAGCACCGTGTTTGAGAAAAATATGCCAAAAAGTGCATTTTCATATTAACATTTCAAAAAAGTTGATATTTTGAATTTCTAGTAACACTTGCGGCCCGTTTAATAACGGTTTTAAGCATAAATGTAACTACGAACAAAACTACTTACTACAATTTAATCATAATTAAATAATATTCACGTAAAACATCCTATTGAACGCAATTGAACATCATCTGTCAAAAACATTTGACATTTGACGTATTAGCCACCGTCCATTGTTTTATTCAAATTACGCTTCTACAAAAAAGTTCAAATTGAAAATGTAAAGTTTGTACGCGATTTTGAAATAGTATCTCACCTTTCCGACAACCTACTGATTAGCACGAGTTTTTCAAGACCAAGTCTGGCCAAATCGGTTTAGCCGTTTTCGAGTTTTAGCGGATCATTTTATCGAGAACTCTATTTATATATTATTTCCATTAATATATATACATATATACATATATTAATAAATTTTCAAATATTGATTCTCAGGTACTTCAGGAATGTGTATGGCTCTTCTGTCGGTTTGTCCAGGAGGACCATGTCTGCATGGCGGTTCTTGCGGAGGTACACCAGAGCATCCTATCTGCATTTGTACAAATGGCTACGCAGGTAATAATTGATATTTAAATAATAATAATAAAGATTGCACATAAACAAAAGGATAATTTTGCATGATTTAGTAAACTGACTTATGATGATTTTTTCACTTTTAGGAGCTCACTGCGAAGTACAAGTGGGACCTACTATCGAAAACCCTCTAGTTTCCTGTCCTTGCATAAATGGTGGCACTTGCGAACAAAATATGCACAATGGTGAAATCTGTATTTGTCCACCTGGATATTCAGGTAAAATAAAAAAAAATCCATCTAATTATATTAAGAGGAGAGCTTGATTTAGAGAAATTTTTTGGGAAGGAAATAAATATTTAATTGAAACGAAACCTTCAGGTTTTATTGTAATATATTTCAGCATTCTTTCATTTTTTTTTATTAAAATATATGTCATAATGCCAGGTACAAGCATTTTGACGATGGCGGGAAAGATGCCGGTCATAATTTTCATCCGAACCAAAAAAAAAAACTTTTTTATATTTTCAATAGTATAGATTTGAGTTTGACAAAATTTCACTTTGTGGGGTTGGGTTAATTATAACTTTTATTTAAGTTTTTTTTAGGTTCAACTAGAAAAGTATTTAATCCTGAAGACAATGAATTTTGTCTCGTTTTGATAGGACGATTTTTTTTTCCTATGTTTCCTTAATTAAAAACCGAGAATTCGAAGTTTTTGTTCCGCTCGTATACTTGTTGACGCTTGCTCACTATTTCTTTAGTAACTCCGAAAATAATTTTAATTTGTTTCTGAAACTTCTGGAATATATTCTTGGCTAGTTTCGGAAGACATTTTTGCAAAAAAAAAAGATTTTTTTAACCCACACCGTGTGTGCAATTGTTTTGCAGTTATTAGTTATTTTGAGTAATATAGTCGTCGAGATAAGATTTTTTTTTGAATTAATAGTATCTGTAAGGTATAGAAAAACTAAATTTAGCATTGGTTTCAATGTATAATTCATGTTTGGAACTAATATATAATTATTTTAAGATCAGTGTGGTGTTTCCTAAAAATGTATTTGCAAATTGTATTTTATTTTTCATCACTGACTTACTTTATTACCTTTAGACATTTTTCTAAAAATTTATTTTTTGTTTATAATATTTTCTTCATTATTCTACTTATTTTTTAGACTTTTTACTATTTCTTAAAAATTTCTTTGCATTATATTCTGTTCCTCGTTATTGAAAGCAATCTTTCAATTTGCAGCATAACGATTTTATATTGTCTAATTTTTCTTTTAAATAAATGTTCATCAATTTTAGTTAATTTGTTTTTTTTATTTTACCCTAAATTGCGAACGTGGTATTCAATCCGCTTGCAATAAAAATTTTCTGAGGAGCGAGTTGCACTCACGGTTTGCAATCATCTTTTTTGTGCAAATTTGCTTACGAATTGGGTGATTTCCGTAGTAAATAAGATTTTTTTATTATAAATGATCAATTTAGACAAAAAAAATTTTGCTCCTGGGGACCGCGTTCGAAAAAAATCGTCGTCTCGAATGGGTTAAGCCTCTAAAGCAGGCTCTCTCCTTAATGACCATCTATTTATAAAAATATTTCTATTCCTTCCCAGGTTTGTACTGTGAACGTCCCCTCACTTACACCGAACGCACAATAAGTTTACCAGCTCCAGATGCTGTATGTGAGCCCCCATGTACAGATTTACAAGTTTGCACCAGAGATGGACTTTGCATCTGTCCACCAGAAACAATTGCCAATGGTTGTGTGATAACGCCTTGCCAGACAATTCCTTGTCAAAACGAAGGAATTTGTAAGGAACAACCGGTGTATGGTGCACAGAATTATACTTGTGAATGTACTAGTGGATGGACAGGTAAAATAAAAGTTACATTTTAAAATATCTGTTCTCAAAAAGAGCTGCACCAATAATAATCGTATCTGGTAATAAAATTTACACGTATAATTAACTTCCGGTGAGGTAAGTTATTGTAATCGCCCAAAAATCGAAATTGAAAATTTTTACATTTCTCGAATTTTTTTTTTTTAAATTTGAAAATTTGCTTTATTTGACTTAAATACATACATTGATTTTTACATAAAGATTCAAATTATATACACCTATTCTAGGAATATCATTATACTATCATAATATAATATTGTTTGCATATATATATATATATATTTGTTTCAATTAACTTATATAAGTATGAAGTTTTTACATTTCTCGACGTTTTAAAAGTTTCTGAACATTTTGGCATACCTAAGAAACAATGGATGTGTGTGTGTGTATGTGTGTATGTGTGTGTGTGTGCGGATACAAATTTTCGTCGACGATTTTGGGAATATCGATTAACCTATTTGAATGATTTGCAAAACATTCGATTCCTATTGACAAGGAGACGCACTTATTAGTTTTTGGCTAAGGCAGGTCTGGCCTTTCTTAAGATACGGAGTAAAAAGTGCCAAAAACGGTAACTCAATTTTTAACAGAACGGAGTGTCCGATTTTAATATTTCAAAAAACATTTTACTTGTATTGACAAAATGCAGAAATGATTAAATTTTTGGAAAGGCAGGTCTAACGGTTTCGAAGATCGAGTAAAAAACTGAAAAAAATGCTATTTGGGGGGTAAAAAATGATTATTAGATATATGCACATTAATTTGTCAGATATTTTATAGAGATTTTAATAATGGATATAAATTTTGTTTACATTTCTTAAGGTTCCGTACCAATGTTTATTCGTTAGACTGCGACGAAGCGCTTACGCGCTTACTATCTAAAATAATCACGCAGAACGATTGTTTTAAAAATTCTTTTTTTTTTAAAAAAAATTGCATAAAATTAGTGGTGTACGGCATCGTGCCTCTTAAGGCAAATTGCTGGAACTTTCCGTTCCAAAAATTATTTTTTTTAAGAAAGTTTTTTTTTTAAAACTTTGAAAAAATTAGATTTTTGAGAAATTTTAAATTTTTGAAAAAAATTAACTTCTTCGGAAAAAAGACTTAAAAAAATGTTTTTTCTTAGTTTGGAAATTTTGTTTTAGCTACATAGAGATCAAACATGGAAGCGCGTAAGCGCCGCATCGCCGTCTAACGGACGATATTAGGGAACCCATAGAAATGTAAACAAAATCGATACATATTTTTAAAATCTTCATACTTTTAAATTACATCATAATTTAATGTGCATATGTCTAATAATCATTTTTAACCGCCAAATGGCATTTTTTTTTACTTTTTTCACTAGATCTCCGAAACAGCTAGACCTGCCTTCCCAAAAATTTAATCAGTTCCGCACACACACACACATACATACAAACATACACACACATACATACGTACGCAAACACATACATCAATTTTTTCTAAAGTATTCCAGAACGTTCAGAAACCTTTAAAACATAAAGATATATAAAAAACTTCATTTTCGATTTTTTGTGATTACTATAACTTACCCTGCGAGAAAAAAAATTATTCAAAAAAAACGTTTTATTTTCAAAAATTTCAAAATTAAGAGAAATCTCATTTTCCAAAAGTTTTCAAAACATTCTAAGATTTTTTTAAAAAATAATAATTTTCGGTACGGGAAGTTCCACCAATTTGCCTTAAAGCACGATGCCATGCACTTCTAGTAGTTTCATATACATTTTTCTCCAGGCAAGAATTGCGAGACAGACGTGAACGAATGCGACACACCAGGAATTTGCAACAATGGTATTTGCCAAAATCGCAACGGTTCGTTCCAGTGTTACTGCGAACCTGGTTATACAGGTAAAAGATGTGACATGGACTTCAACGAATGCCTGAGTCTACCTTGTCATCACGGCACTTGCGTAAATAAGGTAAATATTATATAAAAAAATATAATTGCAAAACATTTGGCTGAAAATCTCTTTTACCAGGTTAACGATTTTGCTTGTGTCTGCGCTCCTGGTTTCAAAGGTAAACAATGCGATGTGGATATTGATGAATGCGAATCGTCACCTTGCCAGAATGGATCAACTTGCCAAAATCTTTTGGCTAAATACGAATGTGTCTGTTCTCCTGGTACAACTGGACAGAATTGCGAAATTGATATAAATGAATGCGAGGTATGGTAATAAATAAAATTTTTCATATCAGTATTATAATTAAAATTTTGTTTTATCTTTTAGAGTACTCCATGTCTACACGGTGGTATCTGTGAAGACCATCGAGCTTCTTTTACATGCCATTGCGAAGGCACAGGTTTCATGGGATCCTTATGTGAAATCAACATAGACGAGTGCATGAGCTCACCTTGTTTGAATGGTGGAAAATGTGAAGATGGTATCAATAACTATGATTGTGTCTGCTATCCTGGTTATAGAGGTAATAACATAAATGATTGGTATATTTATTCGCATTGTATTTTTTATCATTGCTGTTTTCAGGTAAAAATTGTGAAGAAGATATAAACGAATGTGAAAGCATGCCTTGCCAGTTTGGTGGTACTTGTTTGGAACGGAGTGACCAGTCGCTTTATATTCATAATTCTGAAATTTTACTTCCTGAAGTTTTCAATGGAGTTTTTACATACGAAAATGCAAGCGGGTAAGAAATATATTTTATACAAAATCAAAAAATATTTCCTCGTCTAATATCAGCCCGAAGGAGAAGTTTATGTTTTCATCAAAAAATCCGATTCGTTAATTTTATGTTTTTTCCTGGACGTTTCAAGCTATTCTGAATCCAATGAGACCAAATTTGGAAAAAGTATGTGTGTGTGTGTGTGTGAACAGGTCTTTTACCTTAAATCGACGTTTTCTCAGAATCGGCTGGACCGATTTCAAAAATTTAAAGTCATTCGATGTATCTCGATGAGGACTATTTTGTGCGACGATCGGCCAAGCCATTTTTTGCAAATAGCAGAAAAGTGAAACGTTTTAGCCCGGGATTCTGAATCGATTTTGAAAATTCAAACACCGTTCGAAAGATATTGGTTGGGAATCGATCTGATTAGTTTTTGGTAAAGATTAACCGGGCCGTTTTTTGTAATAAAGTATTAAAAAAAAATTTCGACAGTTCTTATGATTTTTTTTTTTACGATAGATACCATGGTGTTATAGATCATACTAAAATATTACGGCCTTACGACAAGCCGTTTAATTTTAAAAATTTATCAAAGTTTGAAAAAATTAGTATCGTTTTTTTTGGTCAAAATTAGACTTTTCATCGGCGTTTGCTCAAAAACGCCTGAACCGATTTTAAAAAATTAAAAGCCATTCGATGTATCTCGATAAGGACTATCGTTTCTCAGTTTGCTGCTAGGATCGGCCAAACAGTTTCTTTGTAATTTGGAAAAAAGTGTGAACTTTTCGTCTACATTTAAGCTCATACTACCGAATCGATTTTAAAAAATCAAAAACTGTTCGACAGATATTTACCAGGAATGATTACTTTTAGGTAAAGATCGACCGTTTTCTTGTTTTTAACTGTTGAAAAAAAATTGCCGATTTTTATGAAACTTTATTTGATAATAGATATCATGGTCTTATAGAACATACTGAAATATTACGGATCTACAACAGGTAATTTAATTTTAAAAATTCATCAAAGTTTGAAAAAAATATTGTAATCAAAATGGCTTTCGAATTAGTAAAAAAGTATATGAACAGTCTACAATACTTCTCAAATTTCGTAAAAAATGTAACCATTTATTAAATCATTAACTAATATCTAGAATAAAACCTTCTTATATCTATGTATAATACACTTCTTTTATCTATGAATAAAACTGCGTACATAATTTACGTAATCGTGACCGTATTTTTTAAAAACTAGCTGTAAGTGGAATTCTGTCTTAAGGCAATTAAGGCATCGTGCCTTAAGGCAAATTGCTGGAACTTCCCGTACCAAAAATTATTATTTTTTTTAAAAACGATTAACATTTTTGAAAAAATTTTACTTCGAAAAAATAAGATCTTTGAGAAACTATAAATTGGACAAAAAATTACTTTTTTCTGAAAAAAATTTTTTTTTTTAAAAAAATTTTTTTTTAATTTTTTTGTTTTTTTTGAAAAATTTTTTTTTTTTATTTTGACATATTGTGGAAGATCTGAACTTTCTTTTCAAAGCAATCGTACTGCTGTAACTGCGTAGGGACAAAATATAAAGCGCGTAAGCGCCGCGTCGCTGTCTAACGCATAAGCATTGGTACGGAACCCATAGGAATGTTAACAAATTGTATACTTATTGTTAAAATCTCTATAAAATATCTGATAATTTGATGAGCATATGTCTAATGATCATTTTTGACCGCCAAATGGCTCATTTTTTTACTTTTTCCTCCATATCTCCGAAACCGCTTGACCTACCTTCATGAAAATTTTATCGATTCTTCATCTTGTCAATACAAGTGAAATGTTTTTTGAATTATTAAAATCGGACGCTCCGTTCTCTCAAAAACTGAGTTACCGTTTTCGGCACTTTTTGCCCCGTATCTTTGGAACGGCTAGACCTGCCTCCGCCAAAAACTAATCAGCACGTCTCCTTATCAATACGAATCGAATGTTTTTTGAATTATTCAAATCGGTTGACCCGTGTTCCCGAAATCGTCGACGAAAATTTGTATCCGCACATACATACACACACATACATACATACATACATACATACACACACACACACACACACACACACACATACATCCATTTTTTCTAAGGTATGCCAAAATGTTCAGAAACCTCTGAAACGTAAAGATATATAAAAATTTTCATTTTCGATTTTTTTGCGATTACTATAACTTACCCTACGGGAAGTTAAAAAGATGTTTTTCATGAAAATGAACATGACGATCAAATTCATGCACTAAACAGTTGGTTGAATTATATAATTAAATTTTGTAATTGATATAATTGCAGATATTATAAATGTGTTAGAGAAAATTCAATTAGCAATCATCATGTCTAAAAAGCGAAAAACTTGATTTTCCCAATAAACAGTTTTAACTAAATATCTACAAAAAAATCAAATTTGCTAATTTTATGTTTTTTCGACGTTTCAAGCCATTCTGAATCGAATGAGATTAAATTTAAAGAAAAAGTATGCAATAAATAATTATTTACAATTATTCATAATAAATAACAATTGACAATCTATTATTTCCATAAAAGTAACATTTAACAAAGCATGAAATAAACAAAGTGTAGAATAGAATAATATTTATCAACTAAATCCAAACAGCTTTAAAAATGAAGATAATATAGATAGCATACAAATTGTGAATGTTATGTTAAATACAAAGAATGCACACATGAAGAGTAAATAATACCACAGTCCAAAATTTGAATGAAAAGCATTCAGATTTACATATTTTATCAATCGAGCATCTTAGAATATTAGTTCAGTTTAGTCCCAATAATAATATATTTATAATTAGTCATAAAGCGTTTAAAATTAACGAAGTAAAAGTTTAGTAAATAAGCAATCCCAATTTCGTTTGATTAAGTCAATTATTACACTTATTGCGAAGTTTTTGAAGCTCGCCTTAAAGCAACTTACACCTAGTTAACTTCCCATAGGGTAGTTAAAGTAATGGGCCGAAAATCGAAAATGAAAATTTTTTCATTTCTCGACGTTTTGAAGGTTTCTGAACATTTTGGCATACCTCAGAAGAATGGACGTGTGTGTGTTTTGTATGTCCGCATTTTTTGTCCACGTTTTCGGGCGCACGGATCAACCGATTTGAATGTTTTAAAAAACATTCGATCCCTATTGATAGGGAGATGTGGTGATTAGTTTTTGGCAAAGGCAGGTCCAGCCGTTACGGAGATACGGAGCAAAGAGTGTAGAAAATGCCAGTTTTTGAGTGAATTAAGCGTCCGATTTGAATGATCTAAAAAACTTTCTGCTTGTATTGACAAAACAATTGCTTTTGAGGATAAAGAATATTACATTTTTTTTTTATTTTTCATAAAACATTTTTGTAATTTTGGATTAAAAATTCAAAAAATGATCCAGGCTAAGCACAGTCTAAGCGCCACTGTTTATGTATTGGAGCACTTTTCCAATTTTGTGAAAACTATTGAAAAATGTGAAAATGCCGCCAAGCTAAGCAGAGTATAAGTGAAAATGTCGCACAGAATTATTTGCAAATGCGTTTAGACTGTGACTATACGGGGGCACTTTTTCAATTTTGTGCAAATTAATTAATTAATTAATAAGGCAACTATTTTTTTTTTTTTTAAATTGAATTCGGAATAAAATGACGATTGTTAATATTCTGGAGATAAATTGATTTATGTTTGACATTTGATTTGCTCAGATATAACAAGATAGCAAAAATAATGAAAGTTACAGAGTATTTGTATTAATATATTTGAAAACGTTTAAAATTTCTCGAATATTTCATTACGGTACTGGAAGTTCTAGTAATTTGCCTTAAGGCACGATGCCACTTTCAACAAGTTTTAATTATATTTTAGTTACGAGTGCAGTTGTAACTATGGTACAACTGGTAGAAATTGTGAGATCAACATCAATGAATGCGAAAGCAGTCCTTGTGGTCTTCACGGAAACTGTAAAGATTTAATTGGAAGCTACGTCTGTGATTGCCATCCTGGTTTTGAAGGCATTCATTGTCAAATCGATATCGACGAATGTGAAAGGTATGAAAACCCTGCACTTAGTAAAAATACTTTTATTGATAAGTTTTTAAATTTATTCTATGTTTTTTATTCCAGATATGAACCTTGTCTTCATGGTCGATGTTACGACGAACGTGCAACCTACAGGTGCGAATGTGAACCTTCTTGGGGCGGCGTCAATTGCACAGTTGCCCTGACTGGTTGCCACGGGGAACCTTGTTTGCACCAGGGAACCTGCTCACCTTACGTTATCAATGAGACTGAACACAGGTTCAACTGTACTTGTGTTAATGGATACCAAGGCGGTAATTGCGAAAAGGTAAAAATAATACATTGGTAATAATAAAATAATTCTTGGTTCATTTCTGTATTAACTTCCCGTAGGGTAGTTAATAGTAATCGCAAAAAATCGAAAATATCTTTACGTTTCAAAGGTTTCTGAACATTTTAGTATACCTTAGAATGGATGTATGTGAGGAACCATACATCCTGTCTGTCTGAGATATGAAAATAATGTATATATATAAATAAATAAAAATAAATAAATAAAAAAAAAACAAATTTTTGTGGACGATTTTCCTTGATGAGTGGACAATGTGCAAAAAATGCTTTTATATAAAATTTCGTAATTTTGAGAATTTTCAAAAAATTAGTGGAGCGCATGGCATCTAGCCTTAAGGCTAATTGCTGGAACTTCCCGTACCAAATATTATTATTTTTTTTTAAACGATTAACATTTTTGAAAAAAAATTATTTCGAAAAAATTAGATTTTTGAGAAACTATGAATTTGAAAAAAATTACTTTTTTTGAAAAAAAATGTTTTCTTTATTTTGACATATTTTGGAAATTATGAACTTTTTTTCAAAGCATCGTACTGCTTTAACTGCATAGAGACAAAATGTTGAAGCGCGTATGCGCCGCGTGGCCGTCTAACGAATAAACATTGATACGGAACCTATAGGAATGCAAACAAAATTTATACTTATTGTTAAAATCTCTATAAAATATCTTATAATTTGATGTGCATATGTCTAATGATCATTTTTCACCCCCAAATGGCATTTTTTTTACATTTTTCATTAGATCTCCGAAACCGCTAGACCTGCCTTTATGAAAATTTGATCAATTCTTCATCTTGTCCCATATAAGTAAAATGTTTTTTGAATTATTGAAATCGGACGCTCTGTTCTCTTAAAAACTGAGTTACCGTTTTTCTCACTTTTTGCCCCGTATCTTCAGAACGGCTAAACCTGCCTTCACCAAAAACTAATCAGCACGTCTCCTTATCAATACGAATCGAATGTTTTTTGAATTATTTAAATCGGTTGATCGGTGTTCCCGAAATCGCCGACGAAAATTTGTATCCGCACACACACACACACGCACATACACACACACATACATCCATTTTTTCTAAGGTATGACAAAATATTCAGAAACCTTTGAAACGTAAAGATATATAAAAATTTTCATTTTCGATTTTTTTGCGATTAACTTACCCTATGGGAAGTTAAAAAAATCTAAATTTTCAAAAAATTCAAATTTTCGAAATTTTTTATCATTTTCAAATTTCATCAATTTCAAAAAATACCAGAATTTAAAAAAAAAAAACGATTTCTTACAAATACCTGATAATATTTCGAAATTTTCAAAAAAATCGAATATTTTCAAAAATTTCCAAATAGTCAAAAAGTTAAAAAAAAACGTTTTTTTGCAAAAAAAATCCAAAAATGTTCAAACTTCTAAAAAAATTTAGAAATTATGAAAAAAAATATAAATTATAAAAAAAAATCAAATTAAAAAAAAACACATTTCTTATAAACATACACAAAGTTGTTTGTAGAATACTATACTATAATTATATAATAAATAATCTATTTGAAATTATTTAAAACAAATATTGATTATTTTCATTAATATGTTAATTACGGTACGGGAAGTTCCAGCAATTTGCCTTAAGGCACGATACCATACACCACTAGTTATTATTTACTTTTTATTTTGCAGATTACCACGATGTCCTACATGGGCTCCAGTTATGTAATCGTCAACACAACACGTGATGAAGGCTATGATATTCAATTTAGATTTAAAACAACTTTACCAAATGGACTACTGGCAATTGGAAATGGATTGACTTTCTACATCTTGGAATTAACCAACGGTCGACTAAATTTGAGGACATCCTTGCTGAATAAATGGGAGGGAGTCTTTATTGGATCTGGACTTAATAATAGCCACTGGCAGAAGGTAATAAATTGAATGATTACTAAATAACGCAGTAAAATTATTTAATTTTAATTATTTTTTAGGTGTTTGTCGCAATCAACACATCACATTTAGTCTTGGCAGCCAATGAAGAACAAACAATCTATCCAATTTCTTTGAGTGAAGGAACGACCACACTTTACACCAGTTTTCCTGAAACACATTTAGGTGGAACTGTTAGCCGGTTCAAAAGTCTTGTCCAGGGTTCACATTCGTTTGTTGGTTGCACTCAAGATGTCATCATCAACGGAGAATGGGTAAATATAATATAATTGATTGACATTAACTATTGTGCCAAACATTTTGTATATTCTTTCTCCTTTATTAGGCGTTGCCAGATAGTTCAGGAGCCCTTACATCCTTAATTGAAGTATCAGAGGGTTGTCCTCGTGATCCACAATGTGAACCCAATCCTTGTTATTCAGGTGGCCATTGCACAGATTTGTGGAGAAACTTTTCATGTACTTGCGAAAGACCTTACTTGGGACAAAAGTGCCAATATAGTAAGTACACTATAAAAATATGAGAAACTAGATGACCTGACAGATGTTGTTCTGTACCCATGTCTACAATTTTTTAATATAATATACTAATATTTACCGTTTACCTAAAAATAATAATTATTGTTTTTTAAATTACTCTTCACTCCAAAATGCATATACATTTATAATATGAACGATGATAAATGTTGAACTGCTTTAAATAAAATGATGAGTCTCAATTCCCACACTATATTGGAAATTGAAGTCTGTTAAACGGTATAACATAAACCATAACACTGGTACTTCATGTTGGATTAAATTAATTTAATTTTATATCATTTAAAATATCCAAAATTGCAAATTAAACTTCTCCTAATCGATTTCGTGAGGGCCGAATTGTATGTATTCATCTTTACTTTCCCATTTGTTGTTATAAAGTGAAATTTTTGCGAATTTTTAAAATATTGTGGAAAGATTAGTAAAAGATGCAAAGAAATTACATATTAAAAAAAAAACTATATTGAAAATTTAATATCCGAATCTTGTGTTGGCGCCCCCTATGGCGTGCGCTCGTACGCATGCATCGCATTAAAGGTAGGACCGGCCCTGATTAATACTTAATTTCATATTTTAAGTGAATTAATTTGTCATATCCTGTTCATATGTATATCATTCAATCTGCCATACATGTACTGTATTTTATATTATTTCAATTTCTGGCATATCTCAGCTGCTTTTTGACAATAATAATGTATATATTTCATTTTTCTTATTCATAATCATAAATTTATTATACATATTCTAATATTGTCTAGGTTCATAAGTAAATTGAAATTTTTGGCAAATGATAGTTTTCATTTGTTTTCAATGCAAACAATTTATTTCTAAAATATTGCACATACATCCCAGTACTTTATAATCACATACATCTTAGAAAATTTCCTTAACAAACTTCAGAAAGATTTATCAAAATCCGAATAATCGTTTAGGAAGTGAGTGCTAGTAGTTTAATATGTACTTTATATAATAGCAATAAAGCTCAAATTGATTCTACTATTGATTTTAGTTAAAAAACGTTTGTATGTGAATAAGAAAAGGGCTGTTTTTAGGGTTTTCCCAGCAATTATTCGATTTTTTTCTCGCTGTAGGAACCATCCTTGGACTTGAACGAACATTTTAAAAATAAAATTGGCCAAATCGGTCCAGGCGTTGTTGAGTTATGCGCTTACCAACACATTTTGCGATTCATTTTTATATATAAGATATGTGGTTTATTATTTTTATTTTTATTTTTCTAGATTTCACTGCTGCTACCTTTGGAAACGAAAACACATCTAACAGTTTGGTTGTGGTGAATGTTAGTGATACTGCTAGACGAGCTGTGAGATCAGTAGTGGATATATCTATGTTTATCAGGACACGTCAAGATTCAGGACAGGTAATAAAAATTACTATAAATGTTCACCATTTCCAAAAGAATTTGAAAACAATATTTTTTTATCTTTTTTTTAGTTATTTTACCTTGGAAGTCCAATATCAGCAGATGAACCCATATCAGCTCCAGATCACTCCTACATTTCTGCTCAATTAAAAGGTGGAGAGTTGCAAGTTAGTATACAATTTAATGGAACTCCTGAATCCTACACTGTTGGAGGAAATAAACTGGATAACGGTTACAACCATTTGATAGAGGTAAAACAATAATTTGTAGTTTATTTTGGTTTCATTTTTAGGTATATGTTCTGAATATTTATTATTTGCAGGTTGTTCGTAATTTAACATTGGTGCATGTGAAATTGAACGGCAGTGAATACTTCAGAAAGACTATTTCTTCCACTGGGCATTTGGATGCACAGGTAAATGATCAATAGTTTTTACTTACCAAAAACTGTTCAATAGTTTAGTTTGTCTCAAAAAATTTATGAAATTTTGTTTGATAAAGATAAATTCCTAACTAAATAACTAATATCCTATAATGATTCTATTTTTCAGGTATTATATTTAGGTGGAGTGCCTCAGTCAATTGAAGAAGAAGTGAAAGTCAAACGACAAGCAGCTCCTGAAATACAAACTGATTTCAAAGGAATTATTCAGGATGTTCAGGTAAATATATAATTTAAATATTTGTACATATTAACTTCCCGTAGTGTAAGTTCTTGTAATGGGCCGAAAATCGGAATTGAAAATATTTACATTTCTCGACGTTTTGAAGGTTTCTGAACATTTTGGCATACTTTAGAAAAAATGGATGTGTGTGTGTGTGTGTTGTGTGTGTGTGTATGTATGTATGGATACAATTTTTCGCCCACGTTTTCGGGCGTACGGATCAACCGATTTGAATGGTTCAAAAAACATTCGATTCCTATTGATAAGGAGATGTGCTGATTAGCTTTTGGCAAAGGCAGGTCCAGCAGTTACGGAGATAAAGAGCAAAGAGTGCAGAGTATAGAAATCGAGTTTTTGAGAGAACGGAGCATCCGATTTGAATGATCTAAAAAACATTCAATTAGTAATGATTGGGAGAAGTGGTTGTTAGTTTTTCGCAAAGGCAGGCCCAGCTAATTCGAAGATACGGAGCTAAATGTACAAAAAATGGCTGTTTTTGAGAGAACTAAGCGTCCGATTCAATTGATTCAAAGAACTTTCTGCTTGTCTTAACAAAATAATTGATTTTGGAAAAAAAAATTTTGTTCCATTTTTTTTTTTTTTTTTTTAATTTTTTGTATATCGAAAATAATTCAGATTTTATTTATAATTATGACTAGAGTTCTAATGTACTTTAAACAAATAATTTCAACTTTGCAATTCAGATTATATAATTCTTATAAATATTAGACAATGTTACGATGTTTATAATAATCTATTTGAAAACATTCAGTATTCCTCGAACATTTCGTTACGGTACGGGAAGTTCCAGCAATTTGCCTTAAGGCACGATTCCACCCACCCCACTAGTTTAATTTTATATATTTGAACAAGATAGTGAAAGGAATTATTCTTTTAACAATACGTAAAACTGTAATAGTACCATTTTAAAATAGCACTTCTTTAATTATTTTGACCTTTTTTTAATTTTAGATCCGCAATGGTTCTCATACAATGGTGGTCGAACTATTTCCCCTGCGTGTTCCTGATTTGGTGGTACCACCTCCATTTGGCCAGGTGTCTTTCCATCCTGAATCAGTATTGGCTGGTGTTATTTCAGACGACTTATGCAGACATTCTCCTTGCAAACATAATGCTACTTGCGCAAATACTTGGAACGACTTCCAGTAAGTTAAAGAAATAAATTACAAGTATTATATAATTCAATTAACGTCTTGTTTATCTGTCTATTACCAGGTGCGAATGCACTCGTGGTTACAAAGGCAAACGTTGCGAAGACATCGAATTCTGCCAACTCCAAGATTGTCCAACTGGATCCAGATGCCGCAACTTGGAAGATGGCTACGAATGTCTTTCCAATGCCACATTCTCTGGTCTGGACGCGCCTTTGGTATTCCGGCCAGGTGCTTTGAAAGAAGGCAAAGATCCCATCATCAATCAACTCGCATCAGTAGACAAACTGATAGACAACAAAGATCAGTATTTGGGCGATGGAACAAATCTTAGAGATGCAAATCTTCAAGATCTTGCATCGAATGGGGTTTCGAGAGAGATTGAGGAGTATGGTTCTGGACAGGGACCTGTTGCACCTGAACGAATGGAGATTCATTATAGGAGCAGAGCTGGTGGCACCTTGATGCATATAAGGAATGATGATATGTATTTCGAAGTGGCTGCTCATAAGGACCAGGTAATAAAAAACAGCTTAGAATGACTTGGAAAGTCAATAAATAAAATTAAAATTTCATCTGTTTTGTAGATAACAATACTATCCCGAGTAAGTCAAGATGAACCTGATGTCACAGGACGATTCAGGAAAGATGAGCCTGACTTTGATTGGTCCAGGATTGTTATTACAATACGAGATGGTGTTTTAGAATCAGGTACATATTTTTATACACAAGAGTATTGTTACGATTTTTATAAAAAGTCATTAGATCATAAAATATTTTTTTGAAGTAAAACTTCTTTAGGAGCAGTATAATTCGTGAGTTAATAAAAATGTCAGGATCGGAAGAATATTTTATCCCGTCACCCATAAATAATTGTAGTGCAAATGATCGCAAATAAATAATGCAACTAAGGAAAAATCTGGGCTGCGTAAGAAATGATAGCATTGGCTATGTATGTTTTGTGTGTGATCGACTTTGGCTTCAAAGTGGCTTAGAAATATCAAATGATGCTCAAAAACAAATTCTTAATAATGTTTTTTGAATATTGATTCAAATAATCAGGTTGGATGTCAAACTTGTCGAAAGATATTAAATTCGGGTAAAATTCCCACTTTGTGTAAATTTAACGAGTTTGTATTTCCACCTATACCAAATTATCTACCTAAACTAGATACTGTATTTAAAAGGTTAATTTTACCTAGTTTGTGTTTCATGCAAATTAGACGATTGCGACATGCAAATGGACAATTTGGAATGTTTGGCCAAATTATAAATGTGCCTGTTGACATTAATAATATGGTTAATTTATTATCTCGTAATATTGATGATGATCATTGCATTAACGTTCACATAAAAAAGCAAATGATTCATAGATCAAGCTATGTGCAGGGCTTGATAAATAAAACAAATATAAAAGTATGGCTTCAATTTGTTAGGCAAGACGGATATTACAGCTGTTCAAGGAATGAGATTATATCATCAGCGAAAAAGTAAAAAAGTAAATGAATGTATGTTAATTTTAATTACATGAAGTTCTTCAAACACAATTGTTACAGGATGAGTGAAGTTACGTAAACAATATTTGTTTAGGCGTTGTTTAACATAATCCACTGTGTGAATAAATATTATAGAATTTATTAATCAGCAATTACTTTAAAACGATCATGTCATATTTCAAGTACGACTTTGATTACATTATTGTTTGTAAATATTATACATATTTTTAATGCAATCATAAATATATAATTTATAATTTATCATTATATAAATGTGTATAATGATTGACGACACTAATAAATGTGTGCATCACGAGTGTTACCATGTTACTAATAAACATTATTCAAAATTTTTATATGATGTATTTATTTTTACTCAACTTAAATTTGCTACTTTATACAGTAGCAAATAAGTTTTACTTCAATCGCGTGTGATCCTTAGACCCACTCTTTTTTTTAGACTAGATTCATATTTGTTATGAATTTTATAAAAAGTCATTAGATCATAAAATATAATTTTTTCCCCTAGGTTTTGGTGAATGGGAAATAGACAGCGCCCCCTTAACCATGACAATAAACCAATCAGCATTCAACAACCTCTTTGATAAAAACACAGTAATCTACCTCGGTGGAAAAGAAGATGTAATTTTCGATGGTCTCTCTTACACCAGCCAAAATGAAAAAAATACCCGGCATGAAAATTTAGTGCCTTTCAGAGATAATAAGACTTATTACGAAGCCAGCGGTTTGTTGACCCATGGAAAAAATGGAGATTCATTCCAGAATGGTGCAATGTTTAAGGGTTGTCTTGGAGAAGTCAGGATTGGAGAAACTTTGCTTGCGTTTTATCCAATTTTGGAAATGTATCCGAAGAACTGGACCTTGACGCATTATTATGAGTTGATGAGCCCGAAACCAAAGAATGGATGTGAGCTGTGCTTTAAGAATGTGAGTAATAATAAATAGTTCTGATCCATACTATGACTAAAGTATTTATTTATATTTTTTCCCCTCACAGGATTGCCAAAATGGAGGAACCTGCATCGATCCTCTGGACAACTACAACTGTAAATGTGCTGCTGGTTTTGATGGTGAAGATTGTTCCACAGACATCAACGAATGTGAGGATGCTAAATGCGAAAATAATTCTAGATGCATTGACTTAATTGCTGAATATAAATGTGAATGTGATCCTGGTAAGGAAATATATTCAATATTTACTCAACAGTTTTTATGATGTATATAACTCATTTCTAATTGTAATTATATTATCAGGTTATTCAGGAGTCTTCTGCGAGCAAGAAATAAATGAATGTGAGTCCAATCCTTGCAAAAACGGTGGTACATGTGAAGATCTCATAGCTAGTTATTCTTGCAAGTGTCCATCAGACTATGCAGGACCACAATGCGAAGCTTTAAGATTGGTAACATGTGCAAATGAACCTTGTCGAAACAGAAGTACATGCATTAATACCAGAAGTAAGTTATATATAGCAATTTAATAAAAATACATTTATAATAAATTTTGTTTAATTTGTTTGTAGATATGGTTACTGGAAATAACTTTACTTGTGAGTGTGCAAGAGGCTTCCAAGGTCCTTTATGTGATACACCGTATTGTGCATTGGAACCGTGTAAGAATGGAGGGTATTGCAGAGTTATGCATGATCAAGTAAGAGTTTATAAACTAAATAAAAATGAAAAGCTGTTGTTTTATTGTAGTAAAGAATCAGAGTTTTCTTTGAGATATGAATAAATTAACCGTGAAACCTAAGAATTCTGGTTCTGGTTATCTAAGTCTGTATTAACATATAAAAAATTAAGATCAGAAGAAAATCTGATATACCTCTCCTTCCATTACATTCATATTATATTTCCTTAGTTAATAATATGGTTTTATATATAATTTAGGATCCTATGTGCGAATGTCCAGCTGGTTTCAACGGCGATTATTGCGAAAATAACATTGATGAATGTCTCGAACAACCTTGTATACATGGCGTATGCATTGACAGGGTTGCCGCTTTTGAATGCGACTGCTCTAATACAGGTAAAACAGTCGAGTTAATAGTTAAAAATTGATATTAGTATTCAATAACATCAAATTAAAAGTTTGACTTTGTTAAAAACTGTGTTAAATACTTTGCAATAAATATATTTTTATATTTCATTATTCAAATCTTGGCTATGATGCAAACTTCATAGCATTAAAGATTTAAACAGTAAAATGAAAAACGGTAAAACAATTATTTTAATAGTTGAAAATTAATGTCAGTATTAAATTAAATCAAATTAAATTATTAAATTCTTTAAAAGTTGAATCAAGCATTAATTAAATTGTTAAATATTTTGCTATAAATATATTTTTATATTTCACAATTCAAATCTTAACTATGATGCATACTTCATAGCAGTAAAAGATTTAGACAGGAAAGTGAAAAAACGTTACAGTGAAATAATTTAATTAATATATATGATTTAATTGTTTATAAAAAATATTATTATGCAATTTAAATTCGTAATCAAATTCAGAGCTCTGTTTGTAACATTTATAACCAGTGTTTACAATTCACTATATACAAGGTTGAAAAAAATAATCTAACATAACCCTAAATATTTTTAAGCAACTATTTAGTTTTATATAAGATATGTTTGCTAAATTTAAATATTATTTCCAGGTTATTCTGGTCCCTTATGTGAACGAGACATTGATGAATGTGCTTTGACAAAAGTTTCTTGTGGTAAAGATGGTTTCTGTCATAACACTCCTGGATCATACAGGTGAAAATATTTTTATATATTCAATTTACATCCAAGTAAATAAAGTTGGAATAGTTGTGGTCAGCTAATTAGTCACCCAAAAGAATAAAGGTGCATGTCTGGTTTTTGTGTGACATTAATTATGTAATGAATTCTTATGAATTTTTTAAATATAAGGCTTTTGTTAGATGCTAAATTTAAAGCATTTCTCAATTAAGCAAACGTCTTGATGGAACCTATCAAGTTGTTTGTCACCCACAGTACCCAAATTTACCAGAAAGTTTTACAGATAAGAATGCAGTATATATATTTTAAAGGGTAAATTAAACCACAAAGATCGCTAACACATCTTGAAATGCCATACTAATGCAGAATCTTAAAAATCATAAAAAAGGTAGTGAGACAAAATCATCATTGGTATTAACAATTCTAATAATTTTTTCTGTTACTCGTGTGACAAAATCACAGTTGATATTGACCATTCTAATAATTATTTCTTTTACTAACAATTAGTGTTGACACCATTCTAATTTTTTTTGTACCAGGTGTGTTTGTACGGCTCCATACTGTGGTTCTGGATGTCGCCTTTTGGATCCGTGCACAACTGGTGAGAACCCGTGCAGGAATGGGGGCACCTGCACGCAAACCTGCACGGATCGACCGTCTTACGAGTGCACGTGCGCCGAGGGATTTGCTGGTGTTAATTGCACAGAAGAGGTAAGGAAAAAAATATAATTGTAATTAGACCTAAAGTCGTTTTGGCTTATATCCTAAGTCTAATTCTGTTTTCGCTGTAATAACGATTTATATCTGTAAATAATTTCGATAAGTTTAAATTTCCTAATTCTAAATCCAATTATCATTTATCCAGGTTAGCCTAGGAGGCCCCAGTGGTGCTGATATTGCTATAATAGTGGTGCCCACCGTAACAGTACTATTAGGTTTAGGAGCTGCCTTGTTGGGCACACTGTTAATTATGGCCAGGAGTAAAAGGGCCACCAGGGGCACTTATAGCCCAAGTGCTCAAGAGTACTGCAATCCCAGGCTGGAAATGGATAATGTACTGAAACCACCTCCTGAGGAACGGTTGATTTGATCGGGTGAAATAAGATAAGTAGAATAGAAATATTTATTAGTATATATATATATATATATATATATATATATATTATATTATTAGGGTGGTTTTTTTAATACCAGGTGTGTTTGTACGGCTCCATACTGTGGTTCTGGATGTCGCCTTTTGGATCCGTGCACAACTGGTGAGAACCCGTGCAGGAATGGGGGCACCTGCACGCAAACCTGCACGGATCGACCGTCTTACGAGTGCACGTGCGCCGAGGGATTTGCTGGTGTTAATTGCACAGAAGAGGTAAGGAAAAAAAATATAATTGTAATTAGACCTAAAGTCGTTTTGGCTTATATCCTAAGTCTAATTCTTTTCGCTGTAATAACGATTTATATCTGTAAATAATTTCGATAAGTTTAAATTTCCTAATTCTAAATCCAATTATCATTTATCCAGGTTAGCCTAGGGGCCCAGTGGTGCTGATATCGCTATAATAGTGGTGCCCACCGTAACAGTACTATTAGGTTTAGGAGCTGCCTTGTTGGGCACACTGTTAATTATGGCCAGGAGTAAAAGGGCCACCAGGGGCACTTATAGCCCAAGTGCTCAAGAGTACTGCAATCCCAGGCTGGAAATGGATAATGTACTTAAACCACCTCCTGAGGAACGGTTGATTTGATCGGGTGAAATAAGATAAGTAGAATAGAAATATTTATTAGTATATATATATATATATATATATATATATATATATATATATATATTAGGTGTGGTCTTAATGTGGACATTTTCAAAATTCCTTGCTCCAAGGGCTCAAATGATTCCAAATTGATAAAAAACAATTCTCTGAATGTTTTAGCTCTTAATATTAACTTTTAGATAATGCGCAATTCAATCAAACTTCGTATGGAAATAGAATGGAAAAAATTTGAAAATTAAAAATAAAAAAATGTTAGGTATAACTTAGCGACAAATTTTGAATAAAACTCATTCATTTGTTCTCTAAATTATATCTAAAAACATTTTTAAAATTTTTGAAATTTTTTTCATTTCCATACAAAACTTTGATTGAATTGCGCACTATCTAAAAGACAATATTAAGATCTAAAAACTTTCAGAGAAATTGTTTTTTTATCAATTTAGAACCATTTGAGCCCTTGGAGAAGGAATCGAAAATGTCCATGTTAAGGACGACCCTAATATATATATATATATATATATATATATATATATATATATATATTTTATGTTGAACTGGCAATTTAAATTTTTGGCACAAATACCAGATTTTTACTCGGTACTTGCTTTTACTATATTATTTAAATCCAAAATTATCTATGCCAAGAAATATTACTATATGTAATATTTTTAATACTAAATGCAAAATATAAATTGCCAAAACGCAAAAAGAAAGTTCGACAGACCTATTTTTATTATTATAGACCAAATTATCAGTTCTGCTTTAATTTTTGTTTTTTGTGAGAACAAATTAAAGTTATCTATAAATTATTTATGTGTTAAATATTGGTTGTTCACATTTTTATTTGATATTTGCAATATTTTATTTATTCATTTATAAATGTTTGTTGTTGTGTTTATATTACGTTTAAATAATAGTTTATTTTATGATGCTTGCACAAAGTATACCAGACTGCAAAAAACGTTCCATATGACATCTATTTAAAAAAAAATTGTGAAAAGATACATTTGATACATTTTTTATATATTATGAATGAAACCAAAACCTTTGTAATTAAATTTATCAATAATTAAAAAATAAAATTAACTATGTTTTCCTATTTTAATTTCACATTATTTTTTAAATGTTTTTAACAGTCTGGTGATATTTGCGTCCACATCTTCAAAATCACTTTGCAAGGTTTTAATAATGCTCAACAATTTTTTAAACAACAATAATGTGCACAAATTGTTATAATATAATTCTTAACTCAAAGCATAGTTTAAATTAATATTAATTAATTGAAGTATTATTTGTATGTTAAATAATTTCTTCGTCTGTATATATAGAATGAATGATTGTGTGGAAAATTATGAATTTTATTCATTAATTTGTAGTCTCGATAACGGGATGATAAAGCATTTTCAATATAACTAATAATATATAACTGATATAATTCGAGGCTTGTATATTTAATTAACAAATAAAATCAGATTAATGCTATTAGTAATCTTGTTAATTAATCTTAAGGCAGGTTAAGTTATTTACTCATGAAAATTTTATTTTCAAATTAGTAGTTTATTAATAGAAATGTCGATACATTTTTTAAATAAATTATTATGTTATAAAAATCGTCTAATTTGTTAATTAAAATATGCATTTGATTTGAAACAATTAATTTATTAAATTATTTATAAATAATAAATTTAAATTGTATTTTCCAAAGGGTATGCTCACAATTTAAAGTTGTTATTATTATTTGTTAATTATTTTATTAATGTTATATTGAAAATGTTTATTATGTATCAGACTACTTTTTCAAGAAGCGAATGTACGTAAATAATTTATCTATATAAAATTAAATATAAACGAAACAAAGGGAGCAACTGTAGTTTTTAGTGAGAGAGCTATATTAAGTAAGCCTATTTGTATCTTGCTGGTATTATAAAATAATGATAGGATTTATTACGGGTGCAGAACCCTTTAAACAAATTTTAGTATTAGATCTCGTGATATACATAGTATTTTATGCAACTTTATTCCATTCCTTTCAAATCATTTATTATTATAAGGTTACGATTGAACATGTGCATATCGAAAATGAAATAATAAATTATTTAATAAACAACTATTTTAATTTATAAATTGAATTATGTAACCTTTTGTTTGGTGTTTTTGATTTCAGACAGAATTATTTATCCAGAACTGTATAAATTATTCCACTTCAAGTATTGGTCTAAGTTGATGTTTGATACAGTAGCTCAAACTCGTTTCAAAGCAGTCTCAAAATCTTGGAATGTTATTGGACGAAGCTGTAAAAAAACCAGGTTAAGTAACATTTTCCTCAAGGCAAGATGCATCAAGTATTAGCAATTTTATTACTAATGTTTTAATCTAGCGGAATTAAAATGAAGACTCTTATATCATATTTTTAAAAATCACGTAAAGTGAATTGCAAAGTAAAGTCAAGTGGATAAGTGAATTAAAATTCAAGTCTTGCCTTTGCCAAAACCTGGACATTTCTCTACACTATCAATACAATTTTTTCTAAAGTATGCCAAAATCTTCAAAACGTAAAGATACTCAAAAGTTTCATAATTTCTTCATATTTTTCTGATTAAATATCCTTCCTGACTGTAAATAGTATGCATATTGGTAGTAGCAAACAAAATTTATATTTTGAATTTCATTATTCTTACCTCTGTTATTGTAAAATCATAAAAGATAAATGATGAGAATATGTAAGAAATATGAATTACAGCAAATGTCTAACCTAAAAATGCACGTTTTACATCAAAACAAATATTAGTTGACAGCAAATTCAACTCATAAATGTGTCATCCGCCATATTTGTTGGGCGCCAAGTTTCACTTAAAATCCGCTAGAGGAGAGCTTGTTTTTTTTTTTTTCAAAAATACCACTAATTTTATATTTTGTTAAATGCTATAAATATTCTATTATAACTATATAATATTACCATCATTTAATGATAAAGCTGCAGATTTACAGTTTTTCAATTTGAATCTATGAATCTACAGTTTTCTACAGATTTTTTCTGGCCTATCTACACATTTTCTCTATGGTGGACCTGGCAACACTGATCGTACGACATTAAAATTTCTAGTAAATTCAGAGCACGTTGTTCAGTTCTTCGGCCGGCGTCGTGAGAGGAACAACCGTCTCAAAGAACAATTTTATTCGGTCGAATTATTCTATTTAGTTTCGTTTAATTGAATTGCCATGTGCTTTTAAGTGGCTGTGAACCTGGGACATCATTGTACATAATTACCAAATTTTGGTAGGCTGTCTTAAGAAAAAACTTAAGGTAAATCACTATTAATTTGTTCATATTGTTTGTAACTACTATTCTATTTTATTGATGATCGAATTACTTGTATATGCATTTTTGAAAGGCATCGAATTACTTGTATGTGCACTTATTTCTGAATAATTCACCACAATATAGGTAATTTGTTTATTGCTATTATTTACTTTGACATATTTCTCGTACATTGCCGCCAATCAAAATTGCATCTATTCTGAAATGTCACTCGTAAACAGTGCTTCGTTTTTCTATTTTACAGTTCATTTAAAAAGTACTGTATTGTTATAAATAAATGACAATGCTGATAAAATTAAATGTACTTTTTCATTCAGGTGCTTAAATTGTTTAAATCAAAAATAATTCTATATGAATTTTACAAAGTAGTACTGCAGTTGAGTGGAATTCTGTCTTAAGGCAATTAAGGCATCGTGCCTTGAGGCATATTGCTGGTACTTCCCGTACCAAAAATTATTATTTTTTTAAAAACAATTAACATTTTTGAAAAAAATTTACTTTGAAAAAATAAGATTTTTGAGAAACTATAAATTGGACAAAAAATTATTTTTTTTGAAAATAATTTTTTTTTCTTTATTTTGACATATTTTGGAAGATCAAAACTTTTTTTCAAAGCATTTGTACTGCTTTAACTGCATAAAGACGAAATATCAAAGCGCGTAAACGCCGCGCCGCCGTCTAACGGTTAAACATTGGTACGGAACCCATAGGAATGTAAACAAAATTTATACTTACTGTTAAAATGTCTATAAAATATCTGATAATTTGATGTGCATATGTCTAATGTTCATTTTTGACCGCCAAATGGCATTTTTTTTACTTTTTTCATTATATCTTCGAAACCGCTAGACCTGCCTTTATGAAAATTTGATCGGTTCTTCACCTTGTCAATACAAGTAAAATGCTTTTTGAATTATTCAAATCGGATGCTCCGTTCTCTTAAAAACTGAGTTACCGTTTTCGGCACTTTTTGCCCCGTATCTTCGGAACGGCTAGACCTGCTTTTGCCAAAAACTAATCAGCACGTTACCTTATCAATACGAATCGAACATTTTTTGAATTATTCTAATTGCTTCATCCGTGTTCCCGAAATCGTCGACGAAAATTTGTTTCCGCACACACATACATACAGGCACGCACGCACGCGCACACACACATACATCCATTTTTTCTAGGGTATGCCAAAATGTTCAGAAACCTCTGAAACGTAAAGATATATAAAATTTTTCGTTTTCGATTTTTTGCGATTACTATAACTTGCCCTACGGGAAGTTAATAAATTGAAAAATATGATTCGATTAGTTTTGTCTATGAATTAAAGCAAATTTAACATCATTTCTTATTTATTAAGAGTATTTCAAGTGATCAATGTATATTATGATCACCACATTAATCCAGTGCAATTAGTATTTAACATGTTTTCAAATTAAAATTATGAATATATAAAGTTCATTATATATAGTTAAGGTATTCGCTTTTATTTAATAATTTTAAATCAGATTCCAAAAAAATAAATTAAATATTTTACTGTTAATATTATATATTTTATAACTTTTCTCATTGTTATACCGATTTGAATTATTCCAAGAACTTTCTGCTTGTTGCAACAAAATAATTGCCTTTGGAACAAAAATTTTTCCTATATTTTATTTTTCAAAAA